TGGTCGACGACAACATTTTTTGAATTGACTGTATATCATGGGGCCATAGTTGGACAACCAAACATCAACTTTATATCGAGCCATGAAAATACTTCTCGGTTGACCAAAGTCATAGTACGGCTAACTGAAAGTATCGAATCGGAAATTAGCATGTTAGGTTTTGCGGATTGAGGGAGAGACCTAACAAACTCTAATCACATGTGATGCGAAGTCCAGGAATCGAACCAGAGACCCCAGAGATGAGAGGTGAGTGTACTACAGCTACGCCATTTTTGATTCCCGCGAGAACCTCGGACGATGCTCCGATCACGTTGGGCCGAACCACCAATGTTGTATGTACAGTAGCCAAAGTGATTAGCAATAATTTTTTCAAACAATTTTTTTTTCTTTACTCACCCAGGTCTCTCTTGTAGCTGTGTTGGTGACTGTTAACTGAATCCTCTTTGAGTATGGAATCACAGGTTATCGAGTAAACAAGCACTAGATTCACAATCGTCCATAGCCACATAACGAGCCTTTTTTAAGTAGATGACTATCTCCAGTTGATCCTTATTGTTTTGCCGGATCTGAAGAAGAAGACGGGCATTTGATGTTAATATATTCGTCTGAAGACCTCGCCACAAGAGCAGATGGCCCGTTAATTTCTTCAATATTTCCCCCAAAATGAATACCATATTTCGCAAGAGAAAATAAAGCTAAGAACAGTGATCATCGTGCCCATTAAAAACCGGGTTCTTAATAAATAAAGAAGCATAATTGATTCAGGAAATTCCAAGTATAAAAGGCATTGCAAGGAAGTTTTGACAGCGTTTCCACCAAGCGCGAAAATGTAAATAGATAAAGAAATGTCAAATTCTAAAAAGGCTTTTCAAAATCTAGGGTTTTCTGACTAGGGTTTTTTTCAGAAACTCGAGTAAAAAAGGAGAGAGATTTTCTACAACAGACTACAAGAAGGGGGAAAAAGTGGTAGCTTGGTTTGATAGCATTTAAACTGGAAGATAAGATAGAGAACATTATGAAGAACAAAAAAAAAAAAAAAAAAAAAAAAAAAAAAAAAAAAAAAAAAAAAAAAAAAAAAAAAAAAGAACTCAGTTCTCTTTGTTTTGAGTTAATCGAAAACAGCTTTCACATGGAGAAGCGACTTATAAACGAGAAAAAAATCCTTATTTCACGGTCGTAGCCGAGTTGTATTTGAAATGAAGAGACGAGTACTGATCTGATCAACTGAGTCGAATTCAGATTCAATTTTTGAAGCAAGAAATGAAGAATTAGTAAGAAATCATGAATCATAGAATAAGAATCTCGAAATATTTTCATATTAATCAGCTTTAAAAATGAACTCAAACAAAAGAAAATGAAGCTTTTTTTCAGGTAATTGAGGATGTAGCAAAGCAAAGCGAAGTTTTTTTTTACGAATCTGGTCCTTGAAGCAAGAGAACCAAACCTAAATATCAAATTCAAAACATGAACACTCGACAACAATTTTTGAAAATTAAAATTCTGCTAAACCAGCTTTCTTGTGCTCGTGTTTATTGCGACAGATATTCAACTATAAAGGAATATTATACTAAGGTATTTAGTCCATATTTTTTCTTACCTGGTCGATTATATGAACTGACTGGTACTTCCTTGTGTTTAACCCACACCAAGACCGAATAGATGTCGTGTTTGACACCCGACTTTTCGAGATATCAAACAAGCGTCTTCAAAGTGAAACACCTGGCCCTGTAACCTTTAATTTTAAATAGAAGTAAAACAATGAATGATTAAGCACAAATTTATCAAACATCAAGAAAAAGTACTCACCTCAATTTACCTGTTCAATAAATACGATCTCATTTTATCGATTTTAGATTAAAATGAATTAATTTATGCATTAAATTATCGCTATTTGAGGCGTGGTGGCGGATCGGATTAGTTGAATTTTTAATCGTTTGCAACTCATTTCTACGAGACAGTTTGTTAGTTTTTGTAACTTTGCTATAATATATTTACTCTTCTCCCTTTACGTTAGTGGAATATTAGTGACAATGCCCCTTCACTCCTGATTTGCACCATCAATGTCTGTTCCAACCCCATCCCAGCCTTCAATCAATCACTGTGCCCTACCGAATAAACGGTTAAGGAACCGGTTTAWTTTTTCTTTCTACTGCTCTTTGTAAAAGTGTTGAAAAGCAACCCCCTTGATGTAAAATTATTCCCCTTCACCTTTCTTTGTCCACCACATTTATGCCATCCCACACCTCTCCCTGAATTAATATTCCATGTATAGAACATTTTATGAAGAAAACACGGTTTATTTTGACTGCATTTTGAAAAAGAATGAAAAGTAAATAACCAAAAATATCACACATAAAATAACTGTAATWAATCGCGCATTCTGATTGGTTGGGAGCGAGTGCTTTATGAGAGCCCACACACAGCATGTGTGCACTTTCAGTTGCATCATTCCAATCCAAAATAATGGTCATTTTAATTCGTATTTTATAAACAATCAAAAAACTTGCTTGCTGTGCTGTGTGGAGTAATAAAGCACTTGGGAATTGACTGAACACTAGAGAAGTGTGGAGAAGCGCTCTGCTATACGTCATGCTTCTCATAACACTTCTCTCTCTCCCTTATGCTTTGTAACTGCACCCAGCATGTGCACACATTTTCTATTTCATTTTGAAACAGTGTTATTCTGTAAAGGAAAATAAAAGKAAGAAAAAATTAAAAGAAATAACAAAATTGAAATAAAAAAATAAAGCTAAAACTGAATCTACAGTATACTAGAAAAAAAGATGAAGTATAACAAAATGAAATAAAATAAAGTTAAATTAAATTAAATTTAAAAAATAAATAAA